GAGAAATGAAAACTTTACATGCAATAACATGATTTTTGGTGGAGGTGGTGGGTGTAAACCATTTTAGGCCCCCATCATAAGCAGAAGTTATAATTACTGAATGATAAACACTCTCAGGAGAATATGTCATTCAATGATATGCTTAAATTTTAAAGGTAGTACCAAAGAAAAAATCCAAACAACAAGAAAAATATTAGAAAAAAGAATGCAAAATACAAGTTTGTAATAAAGAGTAAACCATATGCACACGATTCAAAATACAGTACTTAGGACCTGCCGAATAGCTCAGTTGGTTAAGAACTCCCTCAAGAGTGTGAGCTCTGAGCAACAGGTTGCCGGTTCAATTCACGGCCCGAGCTGCGTTGCCGCAGAGCTGCCAACAGGTGGCAGGATGGCTCAGGTAAAAAATAAATACATACATAAATAAATAATATAGTACTTATATTAAGATCAAAGTGGAATGGAGAACAAATACTATGACCAGGGATAATAAAATTTCACAATCGTGAAGAGATAAACTCATCACAAGAACATGACAATCATGAACCATGCACCAAGCAACAGAACTTTGAAATCCCTGAAAAAAACTGACCAGGAAGCAATGAGAAAAAATGCAACACATAGTTATGTTCAGAGATTCCCATGCCCCCTCTCTCAACAATCCATAGAATAAGAAAGAAAATGAGTACCTAGAAAACTCTAACAATGAAATTAATAAATCAATGAAGATGATCTGACATCTATAGAACTATGAGGTAACAAAATATTTATATTAGTCTCTGCCCTGATTCCTGGCACACAGTTTCTAAACCCTTACGGTTTCCTAAGTGATGAGAGCACTAGATGCCTGTTTTGTTCTCTTGATGCAACTCGGGGTGAGCTCCTGCCTGGGGACTGGTCACCAGAAAGACCACACCATGATAAGAAGCTTGGCATATTCAGCCTCACACCCACAATCCAGAGAGAAAGAGGAGTTGGAAATGCAGTTACATACTGCTCATGCCTTCGTGAGGAAGCCATCATAAAATGCGAAAAGTTGGGATTCGAAGACTTCCAGGAGAGTGAACACATCTATACCTGGAGGATGATGCACTCCAATTCCACGGGGACAGAAGCTCCTCTGCTCGGGACACTCCCAGACCTGACCCTATGTATCTCTTCATCTGATTGTCCATCTGCATTATCATATACTTTAATACACTGAAGATCTGTGAACTGATCTAGCAAATTAATTGAACCCAAAGAGTGGGCTGTTGAAAACTCCAATCTACAGCCGATTGGTTGGTCAGAAGCGCAGGTAACCACCTGGAGATCCGATTGGCATCTGTGTTGAAGGCAGGAGGGGCAGCCTATGAAACTGAGCCCTTCATCTGTGAAATATGATGCTGTCTCCAGGGTGAAAGTGTCAGAATTGCACTAAAATATAGGACAACCAGCTGGTGTCCCAGAGAATTGCTTGGGGTGGAGGGGGAAATCTCCACACATTTGCTAACCACGAGTGTCAGAAGTGAAGCATTCTGGGTGAGTGTGCTANCTTTAATACACTGAAGATCTGTGAACTGATCTAGCAAATTAATTGAACCCAAAGAGTGGGCTGTTGAAAACTCCAATCTACAGCCGATTGGTTGGTCAGAAGCGCAGGTAACCACCTGGAGATCCGATTGGCATCTGTGTTGAAGGCAGGAGGGGCAGCCTATGAAACTGAGCCCTTCATCTGTGAAATATGATGCTGTCTCCAGGGTGAAAGTGTCAGAATTCCATTACAGTATAGGACAACCAGCTGGTGTCCCAGAGAATTGCTTGGGGTGGAGGGGGAAATCTCCACACATTTGCTAACCACGAGTGTCAGAAGTGAAGCATTCTGGGTGAGTGTGCTAGTACTGTGAGAGTAATAGGAACACACAGAAAGAAAACACCGAGTAGTGAAGAACTAGATTTTTTCGGACACAGAGGGTGGAAAACTGAGGTCTTCTTTCAGAAGAACACCACACCGACCAAGAGAATTATACACAATCTTTAAAAATGCACGTAGTACTATACGAGTACCAAGAGAAACCATGTTCTTGGCCATGTAAAATGTAATCTGAATAAATGAGAACAGAAGATATCAACCTTTATAATTTGCCACTAAGACAGAAATTATAAGTATCACCCTTCGAAAACAGATAGCAATGTAACCAAACACCTATGAGCTAACAGTTATTTATTTTGTTTGTTTGCTTTGGTTTTCTGTACATCATTGTGAACTGCTGCCTGTAAAGGGACATGAGTTGAAAACAGCTCATCTGTCCTTAGGCTGACTTAGGTAAAGGGAGCAGGTGAACATGGGCAATGTGTGTGAGGCCACTTACAAACATTTGTTAAACCAGCTGAAAACAGAACTGATAACATACAATCCACAGAAGACTCTTAGAAAATGAAAGGCAATATGTTCCTCAATGAATTAAAAACAAATGGATATTCTAAGGGAAATAAAAAGTATAAAATGAAGTGAATGAGGGTAATAACATAGAAAGGGAATTCTTGACATCTCGATTTCAAAGGTCACACAAGTTACTGGTCATAATGCACTCCCATCTGTAACCTTGACATTGGGATGTTAGGGTGGGTAGAGAAAAAAGAAAATGTCATTGAATGAACGAGACAAGCTCGTTCCCGACTAGAGGCCCCCTACTCATCAGCCAGGAGCCCACCGAACGGTTTTTGAGGGGACTGGGTGGGAGAATGG